CGCCGAGCTCGCAGCAGCGCCGGGCACACCGCGTCCTGCCGCCGCCGCCACCGCCGACCCGGGCGCGCTCGGCCGGGCGGCGCAGAGGCGGCGAGACGCACGGACGAGCGCTGTCGCCATTGCCAGCGAATGAACTCTGTTGACTTCACCCCCCCCCTCAAACCCCCCCCCCCACACACACACTTAAACCACGCCCCTTCCACTAAACCACGCCCCTTCCACTAAACCACGCCCCCTTTCACTAAACCACGCCCCTTCCACTAAACCACGCCCAAAGCTCCGCCTCTTTTCCCTAAACCCCGCCCTAAAACTATGATAACCTCGCCTCCCGCGCACCGAAACCCCGCCCATTCCCCCCACTGATCCCTCCCCCTCACATCTAAACCCCACCCCCACAAGAAAAACCCGGTGAGGGGAGGGGGGATGTGGTGGGAGGGGAGGTGGCGTGGTGGTGGGGGGGGGGCGGAGACCCCACGGGTTTGTTGTTGTTCGCGTAGCCGCGGCGGCGATTTGATTGGCCGCGCGCTTTGGACAAATTGCAACGCCCCCACCCGCCCACCCACCGCCTCTCCCCCCCTACGCTTGGTGATTGGTCGATGAGGGAGGCGTGGCCCGTGTCCCCTCCCCCACGCCCTGTGGCAGGGAAACAAAATATGTTAATGAGATAGGCCCTTATATGGAGTAAATGGGCGTGGCCTTGCCCATATAAGGAATACTGGTATGGGTATCGACCGAGTTTTTTAACGATACCATGCTTGATCCATGCTTGATCCATGCTCGAACACAAGCTTGGATATTTTTAATTCAACATTTTTGTAATCGTTAAAAGTGATTCGCGTCACATGATTTCTGGATGGAAACCGACGATTTGTGGATCTCACATGATTCCTCGATTCTTGACGCTCATTGGCTTCCTTCGACATTAACGTAATGCATCGTTCATTGCGTCGTCGATTCATTTTATCCTGATACAGCTTCACGCGCCCAATCGCGTGTCCATTGGGTTAACGACTCCTTATCTGTTGAACGCCTTTTGGCGTCATCTGGTCCAACACCAATGGAGACTAGGCTCTAAGGAAAGCTGTCTCGGGTGTGGACCAATCAACTTCAAAGACAGTGCATATCATTACCATTATCAGAGTTGTTTCTTTTTGTTTGCATTTTGACTGCTTGTGTTGCGGTTATTGCAAACACGATGCCTTGTATAAAGGTGTCAGTTTTGTACCAGTTTAAAGGGTAAAAACCTATTACTGACTCCTTATCCCATTCGGCATGAGAGCGACTCAACGCGGTTCTAAATAATACCGGTGGTCGTAAAAACAATGATTCTTAACCTTTACTGCAGCCTTGCCAACCCTTTGGTTCTAAATTGTATATATTTTTTAGAAATGTTACTAAATGCATAGGGTTTGATAAAACAAATGAGGTTGGACGTACGTGCCAGTGCTCAATTTGTGTTTCGATAATTAACCTTTTTAAAAAAAATGTGGTCACGTCTCGAACCCCCAGAAAGGGCATCTCACTCCCCCCAGGGGGTGCGTGCAACCCAGGTTAAGAATCACTGCCTTTAAATAATATAGTTGTACTGTGTAAAAGGTCAGGGGTGTCCAAACTTTTTGCAAAGAGGGCCACATTTGATAAAGTGAAGATGCCCGGGGGCCAATAGTTCCTTCTGACATTGTTTTAACCACAAAAAGTTACGTGGAAATACACACTGTTATAAAACAATTTTCATTGTCACAATTACCTTTATTTTTCAAATGACAATGTAACCAAATATAAGCCACTCAGGCAGACGGGAACAACTCTAAAAACGCAATTCCACCTTTCATTCAGTCAGATAACATTGAACAAACTGTATAGAATACCTTAAATTTCCATGAGTTTTATGATGTATTTATTCTGACAGAGCTGGCGAGCCATAACTAACACATTATAAGACCGAAGCTGCGGGCCGTATGAAATCTGCCCGCGGGCCGTGATTGGCCCGCACACCGGACTTTGGACATGCCTGGTTTAGGTTGTTGAAATATACCTCGCCACGCTGGTAGTTGTGGGTTACACGGCCGGAGTGGTTCAGAAATGCCACCCAGTTACCTGAGTCAGATTGCTTTTGCCCTGGCTAGCACCAGTCCCCTAACTCCTAACGCGGTTGTCTGGCTTGACCAACTGCATGTGAAATTGTAGTTGTTGCTCTGCATCAACCATGCGAAAAAAATATAAGTTGTGAGAGTTAGTCTGGACGCCTGCATCCTTCACCAACATGCACTGACCCATACTTTTTTCCAGTTCTGCCTTCATCTGGAACTGCATCCCCCCCTGGTCATCCAGTCTATTGACTGCTCACTTAGTGCCACGGTGGAGGGATGTTCACTATCTCGCCTGGTATCTAGGATGGTTGTGGGTTCGATCCCGACCCTGACGCCTGTATATTTGAAGTTTGCATGTTCTCCCCGTGGTCGCGTGGATTTTTTTTCTCCTGGTCCGCGGGGTTTTCCCATTTACATTTAGAAACATGCATTTAGAATATTTGGCTGCTTTAAATTTCGACATAAGCCACTTTGTTGAGCTATCATTCGTGGCCAGGTCGCTTCTGAAAAAAAGCTCTTTAGCTCAGCGCGCTTTACACGGTAAAAAAAATGGTTTACTTATTTCAGTATGGCCAGGTGTTAATCAGCAACGTTCACAGGTACATGTGGAGGTTGGTGAGTGAGCCAGAGTAGCATCATGGCACCCTACTTCACCAGCATCATTATCATTGTTATCTCTATCATTTAAATTAATAACATTGTGATCTACTTGGCAATGATACCATCCCACCTACCAGTGGCGAAGGGTGGTTGGTTGGCATGGGATCGGGTGCCATAAACCGATTTTTGTCTTTAGTTTGTTGCCTTTCCCCCGCAACTCCAATTAGCACGATTGGCTCCGTACGGTGCCTGGCACATGGGCCTTTTTGGCCCAATGGCCCCAATGCAATTGCACTACGTGCACACTTGATAACTGTGCAACTGGCCAAACTCATTGTTCCCAAGCACAGGACTAAATAAGGCATGTGCCACATGAGAATTGCTCCAGGTGCAACCTTCACTAGCCCTGTCCTCGGTCACGTTTACGTTTCATGGCCACTTAGAGGTCATTGTCCAAAGTTCCATCACGGTTCAGAAGTTTCTGTAATGACAGGCTCTTAAGATGAAGTTAAACACTGCAATTGCATTTGGATATACGATGTGTCTAAGCGTCACAGTGTTTCCAATAATTGCCAGAAACAAAAACATAGCAAATGAGGCATAATCTTGCCGCTCGTGCAATATATTCATACCAAAAATTGACACTAGATGGCATGCATCACGTGATCAAAGAAGGCTGCACGCACCCTTGCACGGCTGCACGTTTGAAGAGCAGCTCGCTGTTATGTATGAAATATATGATTTGTCGCAGCAATTTTTCATGAACAAGGAGTCACATGACAAATGCATCATCCATCGATAATAGCATGACAATGACAATGGTAACAATCACAGTGCTTTTGATACTGTACTCCATAATGTCGGAATTTCCTATCCCCTACACGCTGACGTTGATTCCTGGACCTATTTGACCGGGAGTAACACCGAAGTACGAAGAGAGGGGATTGGTGGCTGGAGATGAGTCGACATGGTCCGAGATGTGATGATATTGGATTGGTGACTGGAGATGAGACAGGGATGAGGGTAGGGCATGGGAGAGGGGCCGTGGGGATAAAGAGGGGACGTCGGCAGGAGCGAAGGGCAGAGAACGCTGTGGACAGAACGGAGAGAACTGTGTATGAAGGAGGGAGCTGTGTGTGATGGAGAAGGTGGAATACAAGGACTAGAACTCTTACCTGTCTCAGGAGGAGAGTGTCCACTACAATACCGTGACTACTGATGCTGATGTCATTTATTTATCCATGAGCCTCAATACTTTCAGTCACAATAAACGATAACTGTCATGAGAGGCTACCTGAACCAACGTTTGGATGAGGTCAATTTTACCATATCCAATTCATCCAATGCTAGGACTATTGAGTGAGCACCGAATAGTCAACGACAACTATCAATCTGAATGGCAATTGAGCCCAGAAAAGCCAGGACGCCACTGCTTCACAAACCTCAGCACCACCATCTCATGCACCCTTCATTGTTCAGGAGAGGCACTCCCAGTTGTTTGACGACATTCTGTACCAAGATGGGAGCTATGTGAATGTTCTCTCAAGATATGTGTTTGCCTGTACATAATTTTTTAGAAAGGTTCTTGAAAAAATAATGTGGACACAATAATTTAGAGGAAATCTTTGTACGTGAATGGAGTGGCGGTGCAGTGGTTTGAGTTTGATTAATTCCTGGCTATGGCTACCATCAGTGGTGAGTGATATCTGAACTGGTCCTAGGCCCTCTCTTCACCAACCTGCACTGCCCAGTGTGGTAAAGTATGGTCAAGCAACCCCCATGACTGACGCTACATATGGAGGCTTTCATTCAGCAGTTACAAATGAAAGCGGCTATAGTAACTAGGGCATCGGCTCTTCTGTATCCACAGTATTATGCAACCAATGTTTGAATCGTCGAAAACATAGTTCTTTTGACATGTTAGCAGGATTCGTAATAATGAGCTTGTAAGTTTAAACCTTCAATTTATTATCAGAATTAATGTGTTAAGCCTGAAAATGTTTCCGTCTCTCTGATTCTCTCGCTCAGTCTTTGTTTCTCTCATTCTCTTTCTCTCCCAGTCTGTCTCTATCTTGTATTTGTGCAGGTGGGAATTCACGCACCTGATAGTCATGGGTGAGTCAGTGCAGGCTGAGGTGTGAGAGGTGACATAAGGTGGCGTGTGATGGGCAAAGGCTCTGCGTTTTGTTTGGGCACATCCTACTTTTCAAGGACAAGGGGCTGGATATACTTGTGTTTTTTTAAACAGCTCAGGGTCAATGGGGTGGTATAAATGTGCCTTAGAGTAACTGCAATTGTTTTTCAGCTGCCCTGCATTTGCTGGAGGTCAGCATACCTGGTGGCTGTACAGGTATGGCACCGGAGAAAGTCGTGAATTGCACAAACATTATTTGTGGTTATGTGTGGTACGTTTATTTTTATACATTACTGTGTGTTTATGCAATTACGTGTTTTTTTATGCGTGTAAAAAGTACTTACTTTCTCACTGAATATTTTCAGGGTCACTGGTAGACCCGGACGTGGCACGTGGTTTCTAGCCACAGCCATCGGGAGATGTATACTGGACGTGGTGTGCCGGGAACGTACACATTTTCAGAGTCGCTGATCCAAACAGATCCAGCTCAGCCCTGCGTGTGAATGCATGGGCTGCAGGGGCGTAGTTCTTTGTGTACTGCCCCATACAACCAGGGTTCTTTTAAGGACCACAGTGAATGACAAGCCATTCTAAAAGCCCGGAGTTTCGTTTGTCCGTCAACTAAATTATAAGAGCCTTTCAGAAGGCCTCAATCAAAACGTTATAGAAAGTGGACCCCCCCCCCCCCCCCCACCAGATGAGGGGGTAAAACGTTGATCCCACAGGTTTCCAAAAACATTTTCACCCCCCCCCCCCCAAAAAAGGAAATGTATATTTGTAGGCATGTATACCTACACGCCCTGCATACAATAGTCAAGCAGTATCTGCACACATGGCAGAATAAGGCGACCACAGGCCGCCGAAATTCTCGTCGGTAGGAATTTGCATCTGCAGCTGGCACCCTTGAGTTAAAAGAAGTATAACCCGTAAAAACAAAGTTTTTCACTCTAAATCCTTTATATGCGTGGCGGCTAGAGTCCTCTCGTCCTCTGGCTTGAGATGGCCGCCACCTATGGGTCAGATGATTGTCTGCAGTATTAAACAATTGTTAATTAAATATTAATTTGTTTTCCCTAAACAGTGTAAAATTTAGGAAAAAAATTTTCACGACCATTAATTGTCTCGCACAACGAGTCTGTGTGCAAAATGTCAGCTCGATTGGATCACGGGAAGTGGGTTAAAAAACTACTGAAAGGTTTGCACGGTCGTAAGCAAGCAAGCACGCAAGCAAGCAAGCGAACTTAATATAAAGGATTTAAAAACAAAAAATGCACGGTCCTTTGTATGTATGTTGAACTTCTTTTGCACCGTACGTAGCCAACCGTGCAAATCGGAGGTCCTTTGTCAAGCCACTGCAGGATATCGGCCTCCGCACGTCGTGGTGGTTATGGAAGTTGTTTGACCATACTTGACCACGCTGGTCAGTGCGGGGTAGTGAAGGTCAGCGGGCATAGGATTGGCATCTCGGGCGCCGATAGCATGAGGCTCCTGTGCAGTTGTACCGCCTGCACTCACGACAGATACGCCACTGCCTGGGAGGTGATGCCGTGCGCTTCGGGAAGAGTTGAGAGAGGCCCTCAGTGAATCCTGCAGATGAGTGTTTCCGTGCCGTCCACAGGCGCTCACAACTGGCTTTTCTCCTTCGACGGAACAAGATGTTCCCTCTCGCCCTCTTCGTCGCCCTCGCCTTGGGTGGCACCGATGCGCAAAGCCGACTTGGTACGAATGTCCTCCTGCCCGTGCTGTTATAACAGTCCTATTAAATTCCGTCAATTATATTCCAGTACGCCAAGTGTGTACGTGTGCATGTGTGTCTGTTCACGTGTCCAGATGTTAGCGACGTCATCTCTTAGTGTTTGGCATCACCAATCCTTCCTGGGTCCTACTGAGCACATCATCTTCTTACACGTTGTGTCGACCTCAATATTAAGTAACACACTCACTCGTGATGCGTTATTATTGGGGCATTACGAGTGTCTCCACATTACATATAAAATACAATTTTAGTCCATCAGTTTTATTGCCTTTCCAGAACAATATTATCCAGCAGCATTTGTTTAAGCAAGCGAACGCTGAATTGGGTTTAACCTTCTGGGTCTCATCAGCAGTCAGGATTGTTTCACACAAACTACCGGATTTCCAGATGTTTTTGGAAAGAGCACTCCATCGGAAGGATGGGGCCTTGCTTAACACAACAATAAAGTGCTTCCTGACAGAACTTGTCTCGAGTAGACACATCCTCGCTTAACGGGGGATCTTAGCTGTGGCGCACTGGTTTGTCGCACGCCGCTACGAATCCGACAGCCCGAGTTCGATTCGATTACCGGTCACGACCAACATTGGTGATGAATATCTGAACTGGTCCTGGGCCTCCTGGAGGTCAATTCAGCCTCAAATGAGTACCCGGTGTCTTGTTTCAGTTTCATTTATTAGGTATAACCCTGTGAGCCATGCGGCTCTTGACTCGGGTGCAACCGCAACAAAAAAAAACATGAACAAGAAACATTTTACAGTGACTACACGCAACAGAAAAATCCAGGATAAAAACAGCAAAGTCGTCCAGAAAAAAACACTGTATTTCAACGCTGTGTGCAAAATCCCAGTGGGATGCAAGTCAAACAATAACCACAAGACAACTTATATTAAAACCATCAGTCTAACTCCGTACTACAACAAACAAACATGGCGAAACCAAAACGTTTTCAAAATCACGAAAATAATCTATAAAAACAATGTAACAGTGATCATAGGAACTGTGATTCAAATTTAACAATAACCGATATCCATAACATGTACGACCAAACTTTGCAGCCATAGCTGGCATCAGCACTGGGGAGACAAAGGCGGCTGGGCGTGGTGCTTGGCCACATCAACATCACCCCCTTAATGTGTCTCGTTTTGCCCTTCGTAGGTGCTCGCGAACAGCACTTGCCCCAACAGCACTGAAGGCTACAAGGGGGTGGGGGAGCTGACTCTTTATCTTTGTGCGTTTGCCGTGCAGGAACGTACAAGGTGGACCTGGCGGCAGTGTCAGTGTCGGGGCTGTCTTCGGGCGGTTGCATGGCCACTCAGTTCCACGTGGCCCACTCCAAGAGCATCATGGGCGTCGCAGTCATCGCAGGGGGTAAGGAGTCATGGATCTAGAGCCTTCGGGTGCCGCGTAGAGGTTATGTCGGTGAGTAGCCGGTCAGTGAGCTTTGTTTCCTGAGGTGAGAACGCATTGAGATGGGGTGCTTTCTGGAAGGGAGAGTTGTTGAGTGATACGAAGCTACACATTTGGCGACCAGTCGTGGCATTTGTATGCTTTACGCACTCTCTTTTGATTTGTTTGTACATTCGTTTTCTCAGATACCTAATGGGAATAAGGTAAATAGGTGGTAAATAGTAGGGATGTAAACATTCAGCCCTGTTACAATAAAATTATATGACAAGTCGCGATTCTGGGTTTATATTTGATATGTTTAACAATTAAATACTTGTGCTACATTGTGGCTGATGTAGCAGCCTTTAGTGCAGGGTACATGCGAATCCATTGCATGTAGCATGCAAATCAACACATTGATTTCTGACACGCACAAAGTTTAAAAATCGACATTAATTGACTTCTATAATATAGGTTTTTTGGGTTAGATCGTGTAAATATATAAATGTGTCGTTAAACCCGCCACCACCCGACACAGCCAACTAGTAAGGGTTGTCACGTAAACAGAACATGCCAATTTGTTACTAGTACAGCACACCGGTGTGTTGGAGAGCCAAGCCACACCATTTACAATTCGAGGACGACGTTTCGCCAGTAATTACAACCAAATTCATCAGGCGACAGCCAGATTTGTTGAGAAGTCCACCTGCTCTTGCGCATAAGTGTGGTCGACTTGTGGCGAACATGTCCATGGGTCTTGCAACCAGGACCCTTGGGCAAATATATGTGGTTAATGCAGACATGATTCCTTGCAAAAGATTTCTGTTTGGTATTTTAACATCTTAACATCTGTTTTATTGTACTAAAGGGTAAAACCTATTCTCATATTTGATACTGGAAAGGGAGGTTCCAAGAGGACAATATATCTAGTTTTGTCTTTTCTCAGTTTTGCCTTCATCATCATCTCCCTCTCTCTCTCCCTCTCTCCCCACCAGCTCCCTACTACTGCGCACAGAACAGCGCGCTCACAGCCACGGAGACATGCATGAAAAGGCCGGAGAGCGTAGCCGTCTCCTACCTGCAGCAGGTGACGCGCAATGCCCAAAACATCCTGTCCATCGACCACACGTCGCACATGAGCTCGGCGCGCGTCTTCCTGTTCGCGGGCACCAAGGACTCCACCGTCCACCCGGGTAAGTGGACGGTTCGGCCCGGATGCGCTGTGTGATCACGTGCAGCGGCTTTCGGCTGGCCACCGAACAAAGACGGAGCTGTACACTTTTAAATCTAGATGGAAAACTCACTTTTCTAGAACTGCTTTTTGTGTTTAGCTTTGTTGTCCTCCTCCCGCATCTCTGTTTAGCACGGTTGGCTACGTACAGTGCAAAAGAAGTTCAACGTTACATACGATATGCTGCTTTGCTTTCGATGTAAAATTGATGTTTTTTTCCTGCTGTGTCTTAAAAAAAAGAGATTCTCCCCCGGTTTAACCCAGGCCTCTCACCTGGGTTATAAAGGCGATTGAAAAAATATATTATTATGGTGGCGTAGCTATCGGGCGTGCGGGCGCTGATACAACTGCAACTAGGACCCATGGGCAAGAGGTGGCCCAGGCACTGGGCTACAAAGAGATGGGGGTGGGGGGATTGTGCAGGGAATCCCATGCCATTGCTTGCACCCTCGTCCATGCCAACCGGGCTACGTCACTCTACGATGATGTTGATGAACGTGCACTGGGACACAAAAACATGCGTGCATCGGTTGTGTGTGTGTGTGAAGGGGATAATAATTAGGTGGTCACTAACAGCACTTGCCTCAACGGTCTGTTAAGGTTATACGGGGGTATCTTTGTCTTTGTAGGGATAATTAGCAAGGTGCAGGAGTACTATCAGGATTTTGTGACCGCGGCTGGCTCCATCCGCACCGTCCTGGACATCCCTGCTGAGCATGGATTTGTAAGTTCCACCTCTCTATGACTCTCTGCTATAACTCTATTTCGTGCAAAAAAAAAATCCCATAGTATGCTCCCCTGTACACGGTTGTCCCATACAATCGCGGTGTCCGCACACCAGTGCCGGATTATCCTAGGAGCAAAAGTAGCTACATATGTCGTCGCTACGGGCCCCACACTTGCAAGGGCCCCGCGCTAAATGCTTTCAAGCTATCAATTCCGGTTCAGTGATTCTGCACTTGCTCTATTACTATAGTACTATACTGCCTTCGACTATTACGAACGACGTCGTATTATCTGGCTGAATAGCAAATGAAAAAATACAATTACTTTACTATGCAAGTTTAAAATGTGTGTTTTAATATTTACGTGTTTTTATTTTATTTTAGGGCTCCTTTATAACGTATGCTACAGGCCCCGCACTAGCTTCATCCGGCACTGCCGCACACATGACTCTTAAATAGTATAAAACCAGGACTGTACACAGAGTCACCATGCTTTACTGCTGACTATTTTCTAATTATTCATGTGAAGATGCATTCGTGAACTATAAACGTCAGGCTTTATAAGTAGCATGTTGCATATACAGTAAATACCAGGGATCCTAAGCCCTCCCATTTCCCGCTTTCACCTCCACTCACTCTCGCACAGCCCACGGTGAGCACTGGCGGAGCGTGTGGCTCCCAAAATTCAGACTACATCAACAGCTGTGGCTACCACGCCGCCTTTGAGCTCCTCAACCACATCTATGGAGGAGGCCTCCAGGTGAGGGGACGGGTACCGCTCTCACTGGCGAGTTTGATTATTTTAGTAATTTATTTACTCATTTTGTTTGCATCACGTGTCGAGCCATATCTCCCCTATTGCATACATCTTGGCGGTGAACATTCCTCACTCACTGCATGCACCAGTTGCAGCTGTTGTATCGATGCTTCTACTCCTTGGAAGGTTCTATTCTATTTTATTTCGGATTACTAAAGCGTCCTTTCCAGGTTCTTTCCTTCTTAGCCATTAACATCCCACTGATGGGCGAATGGCCTCCGCCAACGTATCGTTCACTCTTCACTGTTTCTGACCACTTCCGTCCACCTCTCGCCTCCAAATCTACTCTTCTCGTCCCATCATCTCATTTTCTTACTACCTCTATTTTTTATTCCCTCTAACGGCTTCTATGCTAGCGCTACATTTATCAATTCTATTACAAACCCCTTTCCCCTCTAACCTCACTCACTGTCGTCTGATTTCTCCACAGAGGCCCAGCGAGTCTCATCAACCTGAGGGAGAGGTAAGTGATATGCCTTCCCTTACTCACACATTCATGATCTCACTCAGCTGGGAAGCTATATAGCTCTTTTTCAGAAGCGAACCGGCCACAAATGATAGTTCAACGAAGTGGCTTATCACGTGGACATTTATCGCAGCCAAATCCTCTCAACGCGTGTTTCTAAATGTGGAGGGAAAAACCAGAGGACCCGGAGAGAGATCCACGTAACGACGAAAAGAGAGACACGCAAACGCCAAATATACAACAGGCGTCAGGGTCGGGATCGAACCCACGACCTCCCGTACACCACGCGCGGTGGTTAACATCTCGCCACCGCGGCACACTTACAGCTGGGACTCTAGTTTTGCCTTTGGCTGCTTTACCTGAGGATCCAGTGGCGTAGCGACTGGGTGTGCAGGCATTTCAGATGCACCGTGGCCCATGGGCCGCAGGAGTCCAGAGGCTTCCTTTCACTCCTCGCACCCAGGCCCATGCCAAACGCGCTGCCGCTCATGTCCAGGGATCATCTCACTCACCACGGAGTCGGATTGTGAGCAGTAAACGGTCCGAATCGGGAAGCCACCCCGAAGGCGGGGGTTGGTGGATTATGTAGAGATGTACGTATGTGTGTTGAACTTCTTTCGCACCGTACGTAGCCAACCGTGCTAATCGAAGGGTGCATACACACGACATAGACGCCGCATACACCGCACACACCACGCTACATCACACCACACGGGGGGGAGTCAAGGGAGAGGGGGGCAGAGATGGCACCATCAATTGCATGTGACACCCACCTGAAAGACAAGCGCTTGTGTGCAGGAAGAAGCACAGGAGCTAGGTTTCTGAAAAGTTTCGCGTGGAATTTCAGTTTATGTTACATTTCGATTTAAAGCTTTCGTGACTGCAGGGATTCATTTTCTTGGTTCTTTCGGTAAAGTCACGTAGAAGGGAAGTAATGAAATAATAAAAATAAAACATAATAAAATAATTCTCACGACGTTTCGGCCACAACGCAAGCAGCCGTCCTCAGGTGACAGACGCTGTCTCCCCGACAGACCTGGTTTTCACCTGAGGACGGCTGCTTGCGTTGTGGCCGAAACGTCGTGAGAATTATTTTATTATGTTTTATTTTTATGTTACATGCATGGGTGGCTCATACCCGGGCACTCTCTAACATGCACAAAATACTGACAACACAATTTTTTAAAAAGCTTTCTAAGACAAGGCCCTCCTTTTCTGGGCGAACAAAGAAGCACTGCCTTAGATCTCTCTATGTATACGACCGAAGACAAGGTAACGATGACGTACCTCTCATATTTCAAATCGTACCTTTCAAATGCACTGACAATTAATGACATTCCCTCCGTACCAATGTCTCCCCCTCCCCCCACACCTCCCGACCCCGCTCTCTACCCACCAGCTCATTAACTTCGACCAAAAGGAATATTTCAATTTCTCCCCGCCCTCCACGTATGGCATGGACAACAGCGGGTACGCTTACGTGCCGCGCGCGTGTGCAGCCGGAGACGGTGAGATTCCATTCCCCCCATCACCCCCCCCCCTCCTTCTCTAAACGTTGACGAACGAAAAAACCCGAGCGCATTCACATTTTCCTCTTCGTGCCTGGAGGTTAATTTGACCCGAAACGAAGTTCGCCTCGGATTAAAGCACCCAGAGTGGGCCCCGTTTTCTCCATCGGAACCCTCGCCAGGACAGTTCAGCAGGTCAAACTTGAACCCTCGCCAGGAGGGTTCAGAAGGTCAAACTTGAACTCTTGCCAGGAGGGTTCAGAAGGTCAAACCTGAACCCTCGCCAGGAGGGTTCAGAAGGTCAAACTTGAACTCTCGCCAAGAGGGTTCAGAAGGTCAAACTTGAACTCTCGCCAGGAGGATTCAGAAGGTCAAACCTGAACCCTCACCAGGAGGGTTCAGAAGGTCAAACTTGAACTCTCGCCAGGAGGGTTCAGAAGGTCAAACTTGAACCCTCGCCAGGAGGGTTCAGAAGGTCAAACCGGAGTGCAGCGGCACATTAAATACGCACTACAATGAAATAGTATAAAGCGATTTGCATGTCTTATTTTGGGGGGGGGGGCAGAGCTTTGTGACGTGATATTTGAGGGGGGGTCTGATTTTTTGTGACGCCGTGTGACGAGGGGGGGGGGGGGGGTCAAAAATCGTCCAGAATCGCGTGACGTCATTTATGGACGGCCCCAAGGGTGTTGTTGGGCTGCGGGGCTACATCGCGAACCAGCGGAGGGCAGTGCAGTTAAATAACTTGTTATGCTATACTTCTATGATCCCAAGTCTATGCTACCCACCATCGCCACAAATAACTTGCAGGAACCCGCATTGTATTGGGAGACCCTCAGCCGGCAAAATTAGTGCCTTGCTACACCTTTAGGAGTTTTAGTATATTTTGTTCAGGTTGAAAGTCATACCGTTTTATTGTGTTTTTATTGAATAAATTGTCTTTGAAATTGGCTTTCCTGAGGGTTCACTAACAACATGTAACATGTACAGTACAACGTCGCATATCTGACTCGCTGGGGCCTGAGGTGCAGGCGGACATGTAAAAAGGTTGGATATATGTGTGAACGTCTATAGAATTTGACCGTTACACCACCGTGAACCAATGCTGCACTTGGGTGTTTGGGTGGTGAATTGGTCATGGTGAATATGTAGCGATGGACTGTGGCATTACACGTTTTGTATGTCATTCAGACAGTCCCACGCACTAACTCTGCTTGATGTTTTTCAATTTCCCTCTCCAACCCCACTTAAAACCCCACAGTGTGCAAACTTCACATCGCGTTCCATGGCTGCAAGCAGGGAAAGTGAGTGTAACAAAACAAGACGAACATCCCACCGTGGAGCCTTCGACAAACTGTTGGGGCTTCACTCCACGTGGACAATGGTTCTGGCTAATAATGACTTGTGCTGTCCATCCTCAGCTTCATGTGTGTATGCGTGTATGCTGGCCACCCATCCACCTCGTGTGCCGTGCCGGCCTTCATGGGTATTATCATCATCATCACTTCCTTCCCTTTATTACTGCTAACCCTACCTCCTCCCTTTGTTGCTGCAAATCCTACATAATGCACGGGCATAATATGACTTTGAGACCCCCCCCCCCCCACCTCCTACACATTCCACAAGTAGTGACTAATCCCATATCTGCATTTGCCATAAATATGCTAAATTCCTCTGTTGATATGCAAATTCCTTTGTCAAGGCGCCCTTTCTCCCCTAACCCAGCTTAAATATACGCTGCCAAGCTTGGTGGTGTTCATTCAGACGCTGTCTTTCCGACAGACCTGTTCTTCACCTGAGGACGGCTGCTTGCGTTGTGGCCAAAACGTCGTGAGAATTGTGTTTTATGTTTTATTTTTATTATTTTATTATTTCCCTTCCACGTGACTTTACCGAAAGAACCAAGAAGATCACCATCACCATTTAGCGAATGCAACGTCCCTAAGCCAAGCGGTTGTGTCCGGTCCTGCCGTATTGAAGGCAAGCAGGTCTCCGATGAGTTTGTTGAGGATGTCGGTGCACGAATCGCTCCACCCCCACAAGCACACAGGGGGCTTGATCTTATGCCCCCATCGGCGGAGGTTGGCGAGGAGTGTGCCGTGACCAGTCCTGAACCTGTTGAGGGTGGACCCACTCCTTCCTGGGGAGGTTGAAACCAGGGGGCTTGCTGTTGCTGCCGGGGTAGGAATGAGCTACCTTATTGCCAGGTCCAGTGACTCCCATTCTTGTGGCCATGTGAGATTTGTGCTGAAGCCGCGAGTGGGTGGATCTTTTTTCGAGGCCGTCTTTGACTTTGTGTGTGGTATGTGTGTGGTGTGTGTGTGGTGTGTGTGGGGAGCGGTGGTGTAGCGGTTAGCGCTACGCTGCGCTATGAACCTGGCGACCCGGGTTCGATTCCCGCTCACGGCCAACACCGGTGGCGATTATCTGAACCGGTCCTGGGCCTCCCCTATGTCGACTCAGCCTCAAATGAGTACCTGGTGCGGTGTGTAAACATCGCCACTGGGGAGACAAAGGCGGTCGGGCGTGGTGCTGGCCAACCACCCCCTCGTGTGCCGTTCCGGCCTTCATAGGTGCTCACTAACAGCACTTGCCCCTACAGTCTCTTAAGGCTATACGGGGGATCGTTGTCTTTGTGCACGCGACCAGGGAGAAACTGGGAGATAAGTACGCGAGGCTGCTGGGCTACAACGAGGTTGGAGACCTCAACAACATCATCATCTTGTACCCACAAGCGCGATCCACTCTCTCCAATCCCCTGGGATGCTGGGACTGGTGGGTTCGCACACACACGAATCACGTGTAAGGGGCCGTCCATAAATGACGTCACGCACCTAGGGGAGGGGTCAGACATTTGTGACGATGTGTGACGGGGGGTATGAGAAATGTGACGTCACATCAAAATGCGCAACTTTAAATCAATATCGACAACACGTTCTAATTAATTAAATAGACTTTTTTAATACATGTTTTCGCCTACAACATCAGAGTGCAGCGCCACATTAAATAAGCACTACAATGACAATAGTTTAAAGCGATTTGAAGCATGTTTTATTTGGGGGGGGGCAGAGCTTCGTGACGTCATATTTGGGGGGGGGTCTGATTTTTTGTGACGCCAGGGGGTTGAAAATCGTCCAAAATCGCGTAACGTCATTTATGGACGGCCCCTAAGTGCTGTTAGAGAGCACCCATTAAGGTTGGCATAGCGCATGAGCGGGTCATGTAAGGTCAGCAACCATGCCCGGGCACTGTTTTTCTTCCATTCTCACCATAGACGTTTACACATTGCACCAGGTACTCGTCGTTTAAGGCCGAGGTGAGGTAAGTTGATGTAAGGGGGAGGCCCAGGACTGGTTCAGATATATGCAGCATGTGGAAATACAAACGCATAAATTTCGATTTAAAGCTTTCGTGACTGCAGGGATTCATCTTCTTGGTTCTTTCGGTAAAGTCACGTAGAAGGGAAAAAAAAATAATAAAAATAAAACATAATTATGTTTTATTTTTTTTTTATAAAAAAATAAAATAAAACATAATTATTATGTTTTATTTTATTTATTTTATTATTTCCCTTCTACGTGACTTTACCGAAAGAACCAAGAAGACAAACGCATAATCAAATACACATGGACGTAGCACGCGTGAGCGCACGCACGCGTCTCAAATCCCCCTCCTGTGGCGCCCCACAGGCAGCTTTACCACATGTTTCCTTCGTCTCGTTCCCTTCCTTTCAGGTGGGGCTACACTGGAACAGCTTATGGTAAGTACACATCTTAATCACGCAAATATTAATCCTAATATCCAAATGCTTGTTGACATAAAACAATGTTTATTGGCTCCGTACAGCCACTACTTATTGTTTAATTTGTTCGCTTTTTTTGTCCTAAATCATATTCTATATATGCTATGGGCATCATGTCGTGTAATAAAGATATACATTTTAAACTTTTAGCAATCAATCCACCACCACCACCAACTTCTGTTAAATGCCCCAGCAGATGACATTTCAGAAGTCACTTCAGAAGGCCTCTCTATCCACGCTCGGGATGCAGCTTTCAACGTGCTCTGAAAAGCGTGTTCTTTGTATGTCCATCAAATAGATGTTTTGTTACTTTTCAGAGCAGGAGTTTACGAACATTAAGCGAGCAAAAAACTCACACAATTACTGCGATCTTGTGTGCGCGCGCGTGTGTGTGTAATGTCATTGGTGACTGGACAGAGACGATGAACTAAAGGTGCATGAAAACCTGGTTTAGTCACGTGTGGCCGTCCACATTTGAACCCAAAATCACAAAGTGGTACTGTCTCAGTGCCCTGACCTCTGAACGACCTTGCCATCTCCTAAACGTAAACTCTTTAAAGGATTCAAATCATGAAATCATATTTCAAACTACGTGACTTTACCGAAAGAACCAAAGAGTATGGATTCAAATCATGCCGATCCTAGGTCAGTCCACTGGTTCGCAATTCACCTGTGCATGCACATGTACATCCCCTTTATTTCAGTCTGCTGCCAGACAAGGACCTCGTCAAACCGTGTAGGTCGTGGGGGTTATCTTACCAGATGTTTGTATTAAAAGGTGTACAGTCCAACAATGGATATTTTTTTTTCTACAGCGCCCCCTGCTGCCAATATAACCCCACAGCCGTCTGTGTTGATGCATGGAGGTCGCCCATCCAAGTAATATCCAGCAGCCTCCAAACCTGCTTAGCGTCCGAGATTTAACGAGATCGGGGACATTCCGTGTGTTTTTGGTCATACTTCCACCATGCAATCTTTCACCGGTTACTTAAAAGTCAAGTCTCCCCTTCCACAAATGCCATCAGCCAAGCTTCCAATTCATCAATCACCCCATGGCAGCATTTGCTCACGTAAGCCATTATGTGCTATAGCTACGGCCTAAATTTGTCAAATCTTTCAAATGAATTACAGTGGCTAATTTAGACACTATTTTTCCGATGGGGATGGAAAATTGTCGCCATGATTTAAATGAAGTTCAACCCCTCTGCATGTCCTCATGGGATAAATGCGTTTCATTATAAACCCACGGTCGTCCTTCATTAAATACGCATGCTCGTGCTAACACAGCGTGCGCGCTGTCTGCGGTAGATTGCGTGTGATAAGTAATTGCACAACGCAGAAGATTAAAACGCCGCTGTGATTGTTGTGATTCCAATTAGGTGCGCGAGCCAACGTGAAACGGATCACTTTTTTATTGGGATTCCTTGGAAATGATATTCAAATTGGACGAACCCAACTAATACATCCTATCGAGAAATTACAACCGCAGCAAATCTGCCCGTGTGGTTGCTTTGGGTTTTTATTCCCATCGCATTTGCCTTTCCAATATGGAGTTTGGGGCTATGGATTGAGCACCGAATGGCGTTCTCTGGAGGCATAGCAGGTGTTTTATTTTTTAAAGAGCCATTTTATATCAGATGGAACCCTTTGCCTCATATTCATTACCGGATCCCTTTAGAAGAAATGATACATTGCAAAATAACATGTTTGCCTTCGTGGAGAGTTGATCAGAAACACGCACGTGTTTATGTCCGAGATTTGTTCGTACGATGTGCTTTGCCGAAGGCTTAGCGACATCCATCGCCCTGATGGATTGTTTGTAGTCCTAATCATTTCAAGGGTGACTGTGGCTCAGTGATGCAACGAGCTGCTGCGTACTGCCCCATCACTCATCCCTTACCCCCCCCCCCCCGTTCTCCCGTACCTCAACCCTCAGCTTCAGGCAGTGGCTTTCAGGTGACTGCAGTGAAGAGGATGATGGATCGTGTTACGGGCTAAGGAAGACATCATCATCATCCAAATCATAAACATCAATTTCATCACCCCAACGAGTGTCTCCATGCTCAAATGACAAATGGAGATGTAAACATTTCCGCTGATGAATCTGAACCAGTAGTGCGAATTAAATATTCCCAGGGCCTAGACCACTCTCTTCATTGGACAACCTATGCTGACCTGCAGGTACTGTATTCACTTATCGTAATACTAGCATCATAATCCTGAAACGCCCCACAAGTTTAATCACATTGCCAGTAATTGATGATAAGTGAGTAATGGCCATCACGCCATCATGGTCTGTGTCATCATCTTAAACATGACATTGCCTTTAAAAGCGAGCATATATCTTGCTGTGTTTTGTTTTTATATATGATGACATCAATTGGTGTTGGCGACGATTATATTTTACACGCAGCACTGCATTTCACTAATGATTCTCAAGTGATACTTGGTGTTGCGTTAATATGATGAATATCGGTACCTGCATGCACATATCAAGGTATGAATAATGATCCGGTAACGAGGACACGCGTACCTTTCATCACTTAATAAACATAGAATCGGCACTATCATGACATCTTCATTGTGATCACTTCAATATCATCAACAGTATTGTGATATTGTAATCTATGTGACATGGTTTAATGAATAAAAAAAATACTGTCCTTTACAGGATGTTATTGGCTTATTTTCCATTTGCGAATGACCCTGGCAGAGACATCAAAGAAATGTTTCAGTGGTTATATCATCAGAGATCTTTCCGACTGCAATCACCAGACAGCGCTTGTTGGCGAACCATTATGTGGATAATGGTTCGCCAGGTGCACCTACTCTGGTCTAAGCCAAATTAACTTGAACTCCGCATTTAGGTCGTGAATTGTGCGCAGCTCATGTGGATCTCAATGATAATTGTCCTTTGTTCAGGTTGAAGCTCAATGTGATTTTCTTTTTTCAATTATCAGGATCTTTAGAATAGTTCTTACTTTAAGAAAAGCATACTTTAATTGGCGGTAACTTAAATTGTTGAGCTTGGGTAAAGATATTACAAGACACTTCTGTGAAATACATCCATCATGGTTGGTCAACATCACTGCAATCATCACGATTATAATCATGATGTGATTTTTTTACAAGCTAGTGTCAATCTTAGTTTCTGAAGATCTAATGATAGTGTCCATATCACGGTATACTTTGACATAAAACTATATATCCAATGCAACATGTTAATAAAGTTCTATATTGGCAGCTCTGGTTGTGGTGTCCCTCAACATGTGTACGTTTCTGAAGCTGAAAGATCAGCTGTTTCTAGATTTGAAGTTTTCGTGACTGCAAAGATTCATACTCTATGTTTTTTTCGGTAAAGTCACGTAGGTAAAAGGTAAACAAAAGATGAAAACAACTAAATTAAATCACGAAGTTTCGGAAGCAACACAAGCCTCCGTCTTCAGGTGGAACACGCCACAGCAAAATCACTGCAGTGAATAGAGAGAGCTGTTTAGAGACACGCGATTATATGGGGTAAGCGAAGGGGGAGGAGCCAAGGAGTCGGGGGGAGGGGGGGTTGGGGGCGGGGGATTAGCTGATTAACAGATGAGATCAGGGGGTAAGTGTCAGAGAAATGTGAAGCAGCCAGGACGGACCGAGCATTGGGATGCGGATATTAGAGGCTCCTTGGCATAATGCTCCTGGGCATAATTCTATGGGGGGGGGGGGGGGGGGGAGCTGGTTATCAGCTGATTGCAGGTCACGCCAGTCAAGTCTGCGATATTCGGAATTCCAGCCTAACTTGGGCGCTCTCTTAGACCATGAGCCAGGGCCCGGATATTTCACTTGTCGGTGCCACCTGAGGTGCCGTCACTTTGCTGGTCTCAATTCCTTGAATGTGGTCAGCAACAGTGACTTACGTGATAACCATTTGAAATGAGTGGCGTTCTCAATTAATCAACTCGTATTCGCCAAATAATTAAATACGACCTGAATTTTTCGATCTCAGGCGGTGGCAATTTCTGCTCTGGTCCATGGACTCGTCGTGTAAGGCCGAACAGAGTTCGCACGTGTGGCTGCGTGTGTATGACCTGGTTGTGTGACCGTGGCAGACACCGGTAGGCCCACGAGAATGCAATTAGTGCCTCCGTTTAATATGTAGGCATTCGCAGACCAATATTATTGATAATAATTCGCTATTCTGGCAAAGTAGTCCGATGAAGTTGGTTGTCATCACCAGTGAAACGTCTTACTAAAGTTGTAATTTACACCATTGGAACCTCATTTGCCAGTAAAAAATATAATTGTTTTTTTACCCTTCTATCTGGCAACAACCAATTATCATATTTTTTACTGGCAAATGAGGTTCCAATGGTGTAAATGCTTACCCCGAGCTCTCATACTCTGATGGTGCATTGTCTTTGAGTTGTGCGCCTTTTGGCGTCATCTGGTCCAACCCATGTGAGACTAGGCTCTAAGGAAAGCTGTCTCGGGTGTGGACCAATCAACTTCAAGGACAGTGCACATTATCATAGTTATGTTTTTTGTTTGCATTGTGACTGCAGGTATTGTGGTCTATGTAAACATGACTCCTTGTAAAAAAGGTGTCAGTTTTGTTGCCAGATAGAAGGGTAAAAAAACAATTATCAAAGTTGTAATTGTTGAGAGTTTACTCTCTAACACACCCGTGTGCTGAAGTAGTAACCAAATGGCTGGCACGTTCTGTTCACGGGAAAAACCTCACTAATTGGCTGTGTCGGGTGGTGGTGGGTCAACGGCACATTTATATTAACGCGATCTAACCCACAACATTTGTCATGAGTAATTCCTCCACTAGAGGGCGTTATGACATCGCCATCAGGATGAGCTCCATCTCGAGTAACGGTGGTCGATTCCCAAATGTTTGGATTCCCGATCTGTGAATTGATGGAGTCTACAGGGTGTTTGAAAAAGATGGACCCAATTACAGAGATATCGCGATTTCAAATCGGGTCCATCTTTTTTAAACACCCTGTATTTTGATTTTGATTCCGCTTCTAACTCGTCCCCACCCCACCCCAACATTTTTTTTTTTTTACAAAGCCTTCATTTTATTTTAGAATGTACTACTGCCGGATTAATAGAGATTAAACAATTAAATAATTCATCCATTAAAAAAACGCCTGTTTACAAAAACAGAATAAGCATCGAATGAAGCTTCGGGGTATTTCGTGGTACCTGAATGTTAATCAAGTAAACAATAAATAATAACAATCCATACAAAAATAACTACTATATTACAATCTTAAGCAATTCAACAAGAGCACTTCACAGCTATACCTATGTTTTGAAACATAACCAATGTGTCGCCAATTCCCCCACGAACTGTTTTCATATGAACCAACATCACACCAACAATTTATCTTTCTACAGATTGTAGTTTCAGGAAGAGAGTCTTGTTGACCTCATGGCAATTACTTCAATAATTGAGTCAATTTTTTTTGTATTAATAAAAGCTAATTGTGATTTCGATTCCATGATGTGGAGTCGATCGTGGAGTTGGAATCGAATATGTCATTCTCAAAGAAGAATAATCGAATCGGTTCTTCTGGGATCGACTCCAACATCCCTTACCAGAATCAGAATCTGTATTTATACTCGAGGAATCCGATGAGCTATGAAGCTCTTTTTGCACAGGCGTCCAGTAATGTTCACAGCTGTCCGGCAGACGGGCACGGGAAGAGGGTGCCTCCATCCAGCAGTCGGATTGACAAAATTAGGACTTTCAACATTATTTCGTACAATATTCTCCGCATTCACCTGAAATGTCGCTTATTAAAACGACGATGGGCGATGCAAACGTGCAAACTCAAGTGCACGCATGCCGCGTGTGGGTCGACCTCGTTTTAATATCAATATTCTTGTCCATGATGGCAATGTTGAGAGGTTCTACATGCCAGAGTCGCAGGTCTGCTAAGTCACGGCAAGAGAGTTGGTTGTAGTTCTACTATTCCTCTTCCCTTGAAGGAGCTTTAGGCTGACAGTGGTCGATAACGTTTTGATATACGTGGTGATCCAGATGCCTTGTGACCCACCACCCTCCACCCATTTAATTATCTAAAACTTACTATGTTTTTGTTAAGTGATGTTAATTTAAAACAGAAATTAATGTTCAGAGTGAAAACAAATGTTAGGGGGTTAATTAATTGGGGGGGAGGGGGGTCAAAAGACATGTAGACTAGGGCTGAACGATTACTCGATTTCAGATCGAAATCGCAATTTGAAACAATGCGATTAGTAAATCGTAAAGACTGCGATTTTTTGCGATTTGAAAAGTCTTTTTACTTTCTCATTGGAATTGTTTTATTTTGTATTATTATAACTTTATTAAACTTAACAATTGTTCTATGTTTGATTGTTTTATTTCAATAATTTTTTTTAAATAAATACATGTTGGAAGCAATTCATATCTTTCTTATCCTTGCATTAGAATATACAGAGCAGTTCATATTTTGATGGCATCATGTGGTAATGCTCCATCACGTGTTGTAAATTTATTACACAGTGAATATTGAACTGAAGCTTGACTTTAAAAAATTTAATCGCAAATCAAATCGCAATCGTAATATCTGTCAGAAAAAATCTCAATGAGATATTTCCCCCAAATCGCTCATCCCTAATGTAGACCACCCTGTATTTACAGCACACTGACCATCACACGAACAACTACAACTCGGGACTCAATACTTCGTTCAGCTCACGAGAATGCAAATGTCTCCACTAGAGGCCGCTACAACATCACTAAATCGGAATTGTAAATATTGTGGGTTTACTCTCCAACAAACCGATGTTGCTGTACGAGTAACGAATTGGCACGTTTTGTTTAAGTGACAAACCCCTTACTAATTCTAGATTTGAAGCTTTCGTGACTGCGGTAAAGTCACGTAGGTAAAAATTTAAAATTAATAAAAGTAAAATAAAAATAAAATAATATAATATTACTAATTGGCTGTGTCGGGTGGTGGCGGGTTTCACGACACATTTATATTCACGCGACCTCGCCAAAAAAAACCTCCATTATGGACAACACAATATCTCTTTGTCATCACATCCAATCATATTAGTCACAGTTATAGGGTCAATGAGTTCGGGTTGCAGGAGAGTGTTTATGGTTTGGGTGAGTTCAATTTATTTCGTAGAGGTTAGTACAACGGTGATGGTTGAATGTGTAGGCCCTAGAACTCCCCCAACAACACACAACACGTGACAACAACTCCCACCACCATCATCATCATCGTACTGCTGTCAAAACCCCAATGCTTTCAAATGTGCGGCGGCCCTCACACTGATGATGTCTTATCGGTGAAAGTGACCCCCCCCCCCCCTCTCTCTCTCTGAAAATTAGTGAAGAACACTGCACTAGAGTCTGGGGTGATGTGTTATAACGGGGTCGTGGAGTATGAATTAGGGTTCTGTGGATAACTCAATGTCAAATTTCCACAGCTAACGGCAGCAGCAGCACTTTCACAATGCGCACAGAGCGAGTCTGCTGGAATAAAAAAAAATGACCTCTAAATAGCAGAGGTGGATTGGTTGGCTCAGATGGCTGATACTGTCAGAGGCAGTCAGCCAGCTTTTCCGAGACTATAATTTCGGCGGCCTTATTCTAGTTCCTGCCTACGATCTGGGTGGGGTGTGTAGGTCTATATGGGGGGGTGGGGGGGGTGAGTGAAAACATTTTTGGGGGGTGGTCAACAATTGTTGGAAACCTGTTGCATCAACTTTTTACCCCCACGTCTGGAGGGGCGGGGGGGGGGGAATTCCAGGCCTTCTGAAACGCTCTTATAATTTAGTTGACGCACAAACGGACGCCCAAACGGAACGCCGGGCTTTTATAATAGATGGATGCAAATCTGTACTTGAGCCACGTGTGATTAAACAAGGGTATTTTTTTTATTACGGTCGCGACTATTCTCTCCGCCCTCCTCCCCAACATTTGTTTTGAGTTGAAGGTCTCAGCCCACTCATGTTCGACTGCACTTACAACTATCATTTGAAATTGTCGTTTAATTTACTTTAGCCAGCTCTGAATAAAAATATTCATAAACTTACCATATTTAAAATTACATATAAATCTACAAAATTACTCTATAGACTGCTGAAACTCCCTTCTCTCTACGACCTCCAAAACCCTTTACCTATTAACTCCACGTAATCCAAACTACTGCTGCCAGATGTCTCACCCGCATCCGTAAACAAAACCGCATAACCCTCATACTCCA